GTATTTACTATCTGTGTCAGCAATCACATTCTTAGGCATTTGTCTCAGAGAAATGGAAACTCACACAAAAATCTGTACATAATGTTCATAGCAGCTTTATTCATAATGACCAAAAACTGAAAACAACCCAAATTTTCTCAACCAGTGAATGGCTGAACTAACTGTGATTCCGTACTATACCATGGAATACTATTCACCCTTATAAAGGGGTGAGCTGTTGATACATGCAACACCTTGGATGGATCTTAAGTTAAGGGCATTTGTGCTTAGTAGAAAAGCTGGTCTCAAAGGTTACATGCTATGTGATTCCATTTATATAATGTTCTTGAAATGATAACATCATAGCTTTGGAGAAAAAAGCAGTGGTTTCCAGGGGATAGGGTGGGGGTGTGCAACTATAAGGGGTAGCAGGAGGGAGTTGGGTCAAGTTCTTTATCATGACTACGTCAAGTTGGTTGTCATGACCACACAAATCTGAGGTAAAATTACACAGCAGTACACACTCATACACATATATGCACATGCACACAGGTGAGTGAAATCTAAAGAAGGTCTGTAACTCAGTTAACAGTTTTATGCCAACGTCAGTTTCCTGGTTTTGATATTGTATCACAGTTATACAAGATGTCCCCATTGGGGAAGCTAGGTAAGAGGTTCATGGGATCCTATGACTAATTTTTATGACTTCCTGTGGGTCTATAATTATTTCAAAGTAAGAAATTTAAAAAAATTAATTGTTAGAAAAAATGAAATGAAAAATAGATAGACCAAGTACAAACACCAGTTTTAAATCACAGATTCAACAGACCTAAAACAGTGATGTCCGATGGCTGTGGGAGTCTCTCAGGGCTCACTCTTGCTCTCGGCTCCTGCTGTGCTGAGGCGCAGTGATGACCATCTTCCAGAAGGGCACCAGGCCATGGAAAGACTAGAAGCAAATACCAGAGATGGAATTTTTTTTCCTCTGGCTGAATATTTTGTGGTGGAGTTATACTGCTGTTCAAAGTGAAACTTAATTTAAAATATGTGTAGCTAGTAACTCTATAATAATACATATTTACATAACTATATCCCTAAATACGTTATCTGTATAAATACATACTATCTATGTAATATATTTGTATAAATAAACACAATTTTTAAATAAAAAGAATAAAGAAAGAAAATAACAGTAAATAAAAAATGTATTCTGAGTCCTGGTTTATAGATGAAAACAGATGTAAACGACAGTCAGTTTTCCATGTGCTTGATTCTGTCATCTCCCCCTCCCTCTCCTGCCCCCTAACTTCACCCCCTGTTCTCCATTCCTCTCTCTGTCCCATCTGCACGCCCTCAACCTCCCTCTCTCCCTGGTGGCAGGTCCCAGGCTCTGCTCCTGCCCCACCCCAACACTGGGGAATCACTTTACCTCTCTGAGGATCAGTTTCCTTGTGTGAGGCGCTTATGAGACCCACCTCAGAGCTGTCCTGTGAGGAGTCACTGAGATCGCCCACGAGGCGAAGGCTCCAAGGGCCGCCTGGGAGCATGCACACGCAGAGCGCAGCTCTCTGGCTGCTCGCCTCGGTCCCCAGACGCTCAGGCCGGCTCTGCTCAGACTCCAGCCTTTGTTCCCATCACCTCCTCTTCTCAGGCCAACCAGGCTCCTCCTCCTCTGCCTCCCAGTCCACATCACCACCCCCCACCCCTGCCAACTCAAACCAGCACCCCTGCCCTTTAGAGGGCTGTGTGTCTCCTTCCAGCAGCAAGCTCCCTTCCACTAAGGGGGCTCCTGCCCGGGGGAAAGCCAGGTCAGGCTGCTGAGTTTTCTTTCTCTGCTACAACATGAGCCCCTGTAAATTCTCTCACTCATAATAATAATAATAATAATAATAATGAATACATTCATATTGGCTATGAACATGTGAACACTTGGTATGTGCCAGGCACTCTCCCAAGCTCTATCTGTGTACTATTGAATGCTCACAACCATCCTATGAGGTAGGTTCTGTTCTCAGCCCAATTTATAGGTGAGGAAATTGAGGCCAGTAAGCAGAACACCGCCGGCCAGCTGGCAAGTTCCACACTCTTATCCATACGCAGTACATGTTTTCTGGCAGGTCCCCTGCTTCAGGACAGTGGGACCAGGCCTGTTTTATTTACCAAGCTCAGCACCTGGCACAGTGGAGAAGTCCTGTAAACCTTTGCTAAATGAATGAGTGAGTGAGTGAGTGAGTGAATGCTGCCCACTGTGCTGAGCCTATAAAGCTATTTTCTGGGCTGTAGAGGAGGCAGGCTGAGGATACAGAGGTGACCAGCCCAGGGCAGGCCAAGTGCCAGTGCCGCTCTGCCCAGGGGGCGCCTGAGGACTGTGTCCTTCTGCCTGGTCCAGCACCTCCTTGGCCACGTGCTCAGTACTTGGGCTCCCTGGGTTGTCTCTGTTTCCTGCTAAGTCTTCTTGCTATCTCAATCCCAAGCTGTCAGGCACTCATCAAGTTCTGCTGTCCACAGAGAAAAGAAATGCATCTCACAGCCTCATCAGCTGAACGTCCCAGGGGAGCTGCCAGCAGGCTGGGCTGGAAATGCCATCTGACCTCCACGTGTTCTCCCCTCCACCCTGGTTTTCCCCAGACAGCTTCTCCTCCCTGCAGGCTAACCCATTTCCCTGAGCTCTTCTAATTCTCTCCCACGCCATGCTCTACTCTCCCTCCTAAATCTTTCCCCCTTTTCAACTACCCATTTATTTCCTTAACCAATTTAAATATAGTTATTCGAGATTCTTCCAGGTTCTATTTCTATTTCCAGGTTTTGGGGACAGAAATCCTCCGTTTTGTCTTAGATGATGTTGCTCACAGTAGCTCAGTTCCTCGTGTATTTTATGATTTCTGATTGTGAGCTAAAGCCGGGGGTTTCCTTTCCGCTCCCGGATGGCCCAAATAGCTTGGGCTGTGAAAGCTCCCTTCAGGCATGAGTGACCTTTGTCTCTGCTGAGACTGCCCCCTACCACTACTCAATCTACCCCACTCTGGTCCAATTTAAGAAACCCCAAGTTTTTATTACTATTATTGTAGTAAAAGATACATAACATAAATTTTACTATCTTAACCATTTTTGTGTATACAGTTCAGTGGCATTAAGTACATTCACACTGTTGTACAACCATCACCACCATTCATTTCAAAAGTTCAAAAAGAACTTTTTCAAAATCTTCCCGAATTGTAACTGTGTGCCCATTAAAAAATAATTCCTCATTTCCCTCTCTTCTAGCCCCTGAAAATACCATTTTACTTCCTGTCTCTATGAATCTGATGACTCTATGTCACTCATATAAATGGAATCATACAATATTTGTCATTTTGTGTTTGGCTTATTTCATTTAGTATATTGTCTTCTAGGTTTATCCAGTGTAGCATATGTCAAACCTTCCTTTTTAAGGCTGAATAATATCCCATTGTATGTATGTACCACTTATTGTTTATCCATTCGTTCACTGATGAGCATTTGGGTTGTTTCCACCTTTTGCCTACTGTGAATAGTGCTGTTATGAACATTGGTATACAAATTTCTGTTCAGATCTCTGCTTTTAATTCTCTCCCAGAATTAATACCCAGAAATGAAACTGCAGAATCGTAAGGTAATTTGTTTAATTTTTTGAGGAACCACCTTACTGTCTTCCACAGTGCCTGCCCCATTTTACATTTCCAGCAATGCACAAGAGTTCCAATTTCACTACATCCTCACCAACACTTTGTTTTTCTTGTTCATTTTTGGGGTTTTATGTGTTTTTTATAATGCTCATCTTAATAGGTATGAAGTGATATTGTAGTTTTAATTTGAATCTCCCTATTTACTAGTGACATTAAGCATCTTTTCATGTGCTTTTGGCCACTTCTTTTTTGGAGAAATGTCTGTTCAAGTCCTTTGCCCAACTTTTAATCAGGTGCTTGGGGATTTTTGATGTTGAGTTGTAGGAATTCTTTATATTTTCTAGAAATTAATCCCTTATTAGATATATGATTTGAAAATATTTTCTCCCATTCCATGTGTTGCCTTTTCATTCTGTTGATTGTTTCCTATGAGACACAAATGTTTTCATTCTAATTAAGCCCAATTTATCACATCCACAAAAGCCTATGCTTTTGGTGTCATACTGAGGAAGTCCTTGCCAAATCCAATATCATGAAGTTTTTCCTCTATGTTTTCTTCTGAGAGTTTTGTAGTTTTAGCTCTTATATGTAGGTCTTTCATCCATTTTTAGGTAGTTTTTGAAGATGGTGTAAAGTGAGGGTCCAATTTCACCCTTTTTTCTTAAAGATATCCAGTTTTCCCAACATAATTGTTTGAAAAGCCTGTCCTTTCCTCATTAAATCATCTTGGCACCCTTATCAAAAACTCATTTGATTGATCATATATGCAAGGGTTTATTTCTAGGCTTTGTATTTTTTTCCATTGGACTGTATATCTGTCTTTATGCCAATACCACACTGTTTTGATTACCACAGGTTTGTGGTAAGTTTTGAAATCAGGGAGTGTGAGACCTCCAACTTTGTTTTTTCTTGTTAAGATTGTTTTGGCTCTTTTGGGGTCCCTTGAGATTCTATTTGATTTTTTGGATAGATTTTTTATATCTGCAAAAAAAAATCATACTTGGGAATTTGATAGGGATTACACTGAATTTATAGATTGCTTTGGGTGGTATTAATTATCTTAATCCATAGACATGGAATGTCTTTCCATTTATTTGTGTCTTCTTTAGTTTCTTTCAGCAACGTTTGTAGTTTTCAGTGTACAAGTCTTTCACTTCCTTGGTTAAGGTTACTCCTGTCTTGTTTTCCTTTATTGCTATTGTAAGTGGAAATTAAGAAAGTGTTTTCTTAATTTCCTTTTTGGATTGTTCATTGTTAGTGTACAGAAATACAACTTGTCTTGTGTGCTGATTTGTAACTTTGCTGGATTTTTAATTAGTTCTAACAGGTGTGTGTGTAATCCACATTGTTTTTGTTTCTGCTTTTGTTTTTACCCAGAGACCCGGGTGAAAGCAGGGTGGGTTTCCTTGCCATCTCCCAGAGCCTCTGAGTAGGCTCTTCTGAGGTCCTCATTTGCTGAGAGTGCAGGCTTCAAGGATCCCAGCTGAACTCAAGAGTACTTGTTCCAGCTTCCTGCCTCTGGGAGGCCAAGGCCTGAGTCCCCTGGCCCTGCATGGTCTTTACAGTGCAAACGCTTGGCCACTGGGCCTATCTCCCTTCCAATATCCTCCCCCTCAGAGCTCCTGCTGCATCAGCTCACTCACCCCTCTGCTTTTCTGCTCTCTCTTGATTTGAAAAACAGACATTCTATTTACTACATATTCAGAGCAGAAGGGGTCCCAGCATCTCACTTCCAAATGAGTACCTCAAGAACATGTAGTCACAGAGGGGACATGGAAGCCAGATTTTTATCCATCGTGAAAAGCCCTATTCCAGGATACAGCTGGAGAGGGAAACACTTCAGTCTCTTTTCCTAAAGGCCTGCCTCCCCATGGGGCTGGAGCTGGCCAAGGACATGCCATGTCAGTGGTTGTTGTGTACTGTTACCAAGAACATACTAAGAGCCACTTTACTATGTACTTTACATACATTTGATCTCATTTAATCCTCCTTCCAGCCCCATGACATAGGTACTGTTATCGTCACTAATTCTATTGGGGAAGGTGCCAAAAACACAGGTAGCAAAGGAGCAGAGCTGGGTTTCAGGCTTAGGCTGGCCAATCCTTTACTGAGTACATCTTGTCCTCCATCCTTCCACAAGCCACCTGTAGACTCCTCCGCTAGCCCAGCGCTCTCGGGGTGGGGGCCATGTCATTTACTTCCTCTTACCTGTTCTCAGCACCCAGTGGGTATTGCCTGGGTGCAGCCAGTCTTATCTCTGCAGAGGTTACTGTGATTTTTGTCCCCTGGAGGCTCCGTCCACACTCAAGAGGGCCGGGGAACTCACACAGCTCTTGGCCTAAGCTCCCGTTACCAAGAGAAAGGAGGCTTTTGCCAAGGACTCCGAGGGGAGATAAATGCTGGGAGTGGACTCAACTCTAGTCAGAATAAGCACCCAGCCCTCCCTGAGACATTGTGTGAGCTGGGCCAGGCCTCCAGACACAGCCCCTCCCGCCCGCCCAGCCAGGGTGGTGCTTGTGTGGGAAGGACGTTAAATCCAGCTGCCAGACCCCTGGTTGGAGAGGCAGAGAGGCCGGCCACCATGCACAGCTCCTGCTGTCTCCCCGCATTCCTGCTGCCCCTGCTCCTGCTGGCGGCCCCCACCAGCCCAGCTGCCGCTCTCAGTGATGATGAGAAACGTGCAATGGTCGAGCTGCACAACCTCTACAGAGCCCAGGCATCCCCGCCCGCTGCCAACATGCTGCAAATGGTGAGTGTGGCCAGGGGCACTCACCTCCAGGAATGAAGGAGTGTTGGGCAGGGCTCCCTGGTCCCTCCCACCCCCTGAGCTGAGGCTATCTCAGAGACTCACCTCTGTGGTCCGTGGCAGAGTGCCCCCATTATACAGATGAGGATGCTGAGGGTCAGAGGGACTTGCTGGTCCCTCAGGGGCTTGTGGGCCACAGGGTTGGCAGAGCCAGCCTGGGAACCCCAGGTGCCTAGCCCAGTGAGCCTGTCCCAGCACTTCCTAAAATGCATGTACCCCTGGGAGGGGGAACGCAGGATGTTCCTAACACCTTGGTGAAAATGGACTTTCAGATGCCTCCCCAGGAGATGAGAAGAGGGAACAGGGCAGAAGGATGGGACCCGGCAGCTAGGGCAGGAGGGATGTACGAAGGAGGTGGGGTGAGAACAGGGACCAGGAGCAGAGAGGGCTCTGGGGCACACAGTTCCAATTCTGTCTTGGCCACTTACAGGACCCGTAATTTGGTGTGAGTCCCTTAACCTGGTAAGGACCCTCAGTTTCTCGTCTGTACAATGGGGTCATAATTAGAGCTAGATATATAGCAACATGGAAGAATAAGTGCTTGATAAGTTTTTGGTTAAGAAAAGAGGAACTAATTGTTCATGTAATTGTACATTAATAATAGAAAAAGAAAAAAAAGATTATCCTCTTAGAGTTAAACTAGTTAAAAAGCAATAGATAAAAAAAAAAGAAAAGAGAAGAGGAACTATATCTAGGTGGGAGTTATTGTGGACTCTCCTCCCTCCTCCAGCCTCCACATCTAATCGTCACCACTTTTACCTCCCAGCAGGCTCAGTTTGCCTGGAACCCTACCTCCCCCTCATCCCTCTGGCACACCCCAGGACACAGCTGGAGAGGGAAACACTTCAGCCTCTCTTCCTAAAGGCAGAAGTCCTGCCTCCCCATGGGGCTGGAGCTGGCCAAGGACATGCCATGTCAGTGGTTCAGGCTTTCATTTCTTCTCCCAAGGACTCCCAGAAGAACCTCTGCACATTTCCCCAGCATCTAGCCTTTGCCACCAGAATAAATGATCGACCCACAGGGCTGACCCTGCTCAAAAGCCCTCAGTGGCTCCTACCTCAGGACAGACTCCAGCTCTGAGAAGCTGGGTGTGTCTGACTCCTGCTTACCTCTCTAGCCTCCTTTCCTGCTCACTTCCTCTTCGGTAACCGGAAGCTTGTCCTTCCCCCCATGTTTCTCACTTCCATGCCTTCTGCTGAGGAGACTTCTTCCCTCTCCAGCTGGCCAACGCCTCAGCCTGAAACACTCAGTTTAGGGTCTCCTTCTCCACCCTTAGGTTGGAGATGGCCCTCTTGATTCCTCTCTACCTCCCACTACAGGTCTGTCACTTATCACATGATGGCCCAACTAGTGGCTTATGACAATGTTAACTTGGGCTTCTTAGTTCTTGCTGTCACCCCAGGGCTGGCATGGCACCCGGGACTATTGAATGAATGAGTGAGTGAGTGAATTAATGGACTTGCTTTCAGGTGGTGACCAAGTGGCTAATGCAGGGGGTGCTGTGACTCTTGAAACTCCATAGGGGTCTCTGGATGACCGAGAAGCCTTAAGACCCAAAGGAGTGACTCGAACGGAGGGACTCCAGGCATCCAGTTGGCACGCAGCCAGGCACCGGGGAGACTACTTTAAGGAGGGCCCTGTCTCAGTCAGAGGCAACAAATGTCCACTGAGTGCCTGTTAAGTGCCAGCTCTGTGCCTGACATTGAGGATATGTCACGGTCCTGCCCTGAAGGAGCTGACAGTTTAGTCTGGGGCCCTGCAGGTCATCTCCAACAACCTGATCCTGGTCCCCAGAACCATGACTTTTCCCCACCCCCGATCTCTCATATTGCCAGAGTCTGAAAGAGCCTCAGGGACCAGGGCTTTGGGACACTTAGACACCGGGAGAGGGAAAGGGGTTCACCTGAGCCACAGCGGTGTGGCTGTGCCCCTCCCTGCCCCGGGCCAGCTGCTCCTGGGAACCTCGTGTGAGTAGGGATAGGTGTGGCCACCCAGTCCCCTCCCCTCAGGGTCACCCAAGCCCTTGGTGCTTTACAGGCTGTCTGGCTTCTGCCACTGGCTGGGCCCCCGGAGGGTGGAGCCAGAGTTGCCTCCAGGCCCTCCATTTCCGGGAGAGGCCAAAGACAAAGTTTAATGGGATCCAGAGCTTCCTCCTCCGTGCTTTGGTCACATGCCTTGTTAATCCCTCTCCCACCCACACTGGGTCCGTCCTTCCAGCCGGAGACACAGAACCTCAGGGGCCCCGGAACCCAAAATGCCCTCTCCCACCATCTCACCTGAGGTCCCCAGTGGATAACACTGCCCTTGGGATCTGACAGCTCCTTGGGCCACCAAGCCTCTGAAAATAGGCCTCTCAGTGAGGGTCACCCAGAGGCACCTAGTTTTCTTGGGGAAAGTGTTGTAGTTGACAGGTGTTGAGCGCACTTGGGAGTAGCCCTCAGGAAGGCAGCCTGGGGCTGGCAGAGCTACAGAGACCCGCTGTCCTAAGGGGAGAGTGGGAGCTCAGAGGGGAGCGCCAGCCCCCAAGTCATTTACAGTGTGTAAGTAGGGGCAGGGGGATCAGTAAACAACCCAGTCCTTGAGTATTTCACTGGACATCTTGTGATCTTCAGGGCAGTTTAAGATGCCCTGGGAGGTAGGCAGGGGCATTGCTGCCCACCTTTCACACAGGAGGATATTAATAGTAATTAATAATAACACAGTCACAAATATCATCTCCTTTATTCTTTGCAAATCCCAGTGAGAGTTCAGAAAGGTTAGATCTGTCCAGAATCACACAGCTGGTGAATGGTTCTAAGTTTGGCTAACTCCATGGCCTGGGATTGCACCCTCCCACCTCTCCACAGAAGCCCCCTGGAAGCAGCGACCTGTTCCAGATCATGGCCAAGAGCCACCCCGCTAAGGAGAGGAGGGTCTTTGCCCCCAGGGGGTCTGAGGGCACCCTCCGCTTTCTGCTCTGTTCCTCACAGAATTGTGAGTGTCCTCACCATCCTCTCCCAACCCCCTCTCCCGCCTCCACCAAGCCCAAGGCGTCCTCATCTCCCTCCCCGACCTGTCCCGCAGAGGTGGGACGAGGAGCTGGCCGCCTTCGCCAAGGCCTATGCGCAGCAGTGCGTGTGGGGCCACAACAAGGAGCGCGGGCGGCGAGGCGAGAACCTGTTCGCCATCACGGACGAGGGCATGGACGTGCCGCTGGCCATGGAGGAGTGGCACCACGAGCGCGAGCATTACAACCTCAGCGCCGCCACCTGCCACCGTGGCCAGATGTGTGGCCACTACACTCAGGTGCGGGGCCTGCGGTCGGGGGGGGGCCACCTCTCCCTTCATCGCCTTAGTCCCTTAGCCCACATCCTTAAGCCCCCAGATCCTTCATATCGTTTTTCCACAGCAATTCACGTGCTGTCCAAGCCTCTGACGAAGGCTGGCTTCTCAAGATGCCTAAACCATTTTCAATTGACTCTAAATACCACAATCGTTTGAAAACCTACGCAGCCCCTTGCAGCCTCCTGGTACTTAGGCAGCTGTCACAGGGCCCGTTTCCTGGCCAGTAGTTATCATACTAGGCCATCCTGACCGCGCTCTAAACAGTCCTGCCCCTGCGCCTAAACTATGCAGGGCAGTTTGCCCCAGTGGTAAGTGTCCACCACCCTCCTCAACTTCTGTCTTCTCTCTCGGTGTCACTCTTTTGTCATTTCTCATGGCGTCTAAATTGCTGCTTCTAATCTGCCAGCAAATGGACAATTTTGCTTCTTTAATTTTTATTTTGCTTTTAAAAACTATGTGTGAAATAAGAGCAAATTGTCGCTGAGTGAAGGTTTCAGGGAGCCTTCTGAGAGCCTTCTGCCAGTCACTTCTTATGTCAAGGTTCTCACTGCATTTTGAAAGTTGACATATGCAGATTAAGAAGTGTAGGGGTGTGTATGTGTGTGTGTAGGGGAATTAACAGTGTTATTAAATTCTTTTTCTTTCTCCTCCCATGCTAGTTGTTTATACAGTAACATAATTTTTTTTTAAAGAAAAAGGAAATAAACCAATATCTTCCACCCATATCCACCAACTCCATTTTCCAGTGCTTCTTTTGGGTGGTATTTTTAGTGCTAATCTTTAGGGAAGGAAATCCCAACATCACCCACCCAGATCAGGAAGTTGTGAGGGGCCCACAGCCCTCACCATCCCCTCGCTTCTGTACTCTTGACACCTCACACTCCCCATACGCAAGTCCTACTGCAGGGACTGCTGTCAGTGCCCAGCTGAGTGGCTCTGGCCCACCTCCACCCCAACCTTGTCTAGCGCTGAGTGCACATGCATGCTAGGGGCACTTCTACCTGGGAGGTGCTCAACAGTGGTGCCTGGGAACCCTCAGCTGCTTTAAGCAGAAAGACCCCAACCCTGAGTGTGTGTGTGTATAGAATTAACAGCCAGAGCCCCATCTCTTCAGCAAAAACTGGCCTCAGTTTGAGTGACTCCTGGGCAGACTGAGCCTAGAAATAGCAAGAGAAGGCTGCCAGTCTCAGCTCATGGCAGTACACAAAGGTTGCTAGACTTTTAAAATTTTATACTTGAGACAGAATTCCTTCTAGCAGCTGGAAGACCCACACTTAGAAAAGGCAGAGCAGATTCCTGCTCACTTGTGATGTGGGCAAAGTTCCATTTCCAGCATGGCTCTTCCTGTTCCCTTCCTTGGACTTTGCTTGCTGCAGATATCTAAGATTCCCCCATTTGAGATTCATTCCTTTGGGTATACCACTTGTTTAAAATGCCAGGGTCTCTAGGAAGAGCCCACAGTTAGAATTCATGAGGGAACATCAGAAGGGAAGGTTTTCAGGAAAGAGGCCTAGTGAAATAATGTGTATGGTTGACAGGGGAGAGTAGACTGTTGAGGACAAATCCCCCACCAGGCCCCTGTTCAGAGTTTTGTCCTGAAGCTGAGTATCCTCAGGAACTTGGATACTACAGGCTGTAGGGATCTTTTCCCCGCACACAGTAGGCCAGTGTAGAGAGACACTAGCTGGAGGCCATCCCACCCAGGCTAAGCTGTTGGGTTTCCCTTCCTGATTCAGGTGGTCTGGGCCAAGACCGAGAGGATTGGCTGTGGCTCCCACTTCTGTGAGAAGCTCCAGGGTGTTGAGGAGACCAATATCCAATTGCTGGTTTGCAACTATGAGCCCCCGTGAGTGCAGGGGGCCCCGGGGGTCAGGGGTGGGCAGAGCCAAGGGAGGGCTGAGTTGGGCACAGTGTAAGGAAGTGGGAGGGGGCCCATCTGGGGCCTGTACCCTGTTCCCAGCTGTGAGGACAGCGACGGGAGTCTGTCCAGCAAGTTGGTTGGGGACAAGTAAGATCCAGGGTCACTTGTGGACCAGGTGTGTATGGGGGATGCAGACAGGGGCTGACAGGGACACCTCGCCCATCCAGCAGCACCCTTGTCTCCTCAGAGGGAATGTGAAGGGGCAGAGGCCCTACCAGGAGGGGACTCCGTGCTCCCAGTGTCCCTCGGACTACCGCTGCCATGACTCCCTCTGCGGTGAGCTAGGAATGGGGTGGGAAGGAGGGAGGGAGGGGAGGGAAGGGATGCCTCCCGGGCTCCAGAGTGGTGCTAGGCCAAGGAGAAGCCCAGCAGGGCGTGACCTCCAGACCTCACCCCACCCCACCCCGGTTCCCAAGCCCTTTGTCCTCCTGGCGCAGCCACTTTGGCGCCCTGTCATTTCAATTGAAGAGATTTCAACCCTCCAAGAGGGGGAATGGAGGAAAGTCCCGGGGCTGGGTGGGGTGGGTGTGGCCAAATGGAAAAGCCCTGGTGGGCGTGGAGGTTTGGTGGGCGTGGCCAGAGGGACTCAATGGGCTGGGCCTGTTAGGAACAGGAATCCATCTGGAGAAAACATCCAAGAGCGAGCGCAGAAAGGAAGGTGGATGGAGGGTCAATCACAAGAAATAACCCTTATCACCGGTGAGGGACATATTCGCTGGAGAGGGTGTATGTGTTTGTGTGCCTTTGTAGCCCCTTCGGTCTCCTCCCCTTGATTGTGGGGGGCTGAGAGATGTGGGGTTCGGTTGGTGGCACTAAGGCCAGGCCTTGTCTCTCTTATCAGAACCCATCAGAGGCCCGGAAGAGGCCAAGGATTTGCCTTACCTGGCAACTGACGCCTCCTCAGGTTCTAGGAAAAAGGGTGTTCCTTCTTCCCTAGCAATGGACACTCCATCCTTGGTGACAGAAGTCTCAGGCACCCTGGCAACCACGGCGCCACCTGTCACAGAAACCAAGGCCCCGTCTTCCTTAGCAACGGAAGACGCCCCTTCCAGAGCAGCAGAGGCTTCACCTTCCTTAACAAGTGAGGCCCCAGCCTTTTTGGCAACTCTCAGCCTTTTTCCCTTTCATGATTGGCCAGCTACCTTCCTCAAACTGACCCATGATCCCATCCCCACATGGGCAGACAAAGAAGCCAGCAGAACAAGAATGCCCTCCAGTAGCCCGGAGAGTTCTCTGCACCCCAAGATACCCTTAACAGAGACACAGGAGCCGCTACTGCACTCCCAGGAGGAGGGAGAAGCTGAGGCTGAGTTGCCTCCTTCCAGTGAGGTCTTGGCCTCAGTTTTTCCAGACCAGGGTGAGCCAGGAGAGCTGCAGGCCACACTGGACCGCAAGGGGCACACCTCCTCCAAGTCCCTTTCCAACTCCCCCAATACCTCCACCACCGGTAATGCCATGGGCGGGCGAACCCTGGCCCTGCAGTCGCCTTTGTCAGGTGAGGCTTGTAGTGTCCGTCCTACCTTCCCTCCTGTTTCCAGAGGACCAGCACCCTGCCCCCAGCACAGATGGTGTGGGCATGGCAGAACATGGACCCTCTGAGTAGGAGCTTCCTCTGGCTGCTGGGCCCCCAAGTGCATGCCTGGGAGGGTGCGTGGGAGGGCAAGCAGAGCTGGGTCCAGGCAGAGGCAAAGCCTGTCCCTTCCCACAGGTGCAGAAGGCCCTGAAAAGCCTGGCAGGTCTGGGCTGGACTCGGGCCCTGGTCATGTCTGGGTCCCTCTCCTAGGCCTGCTGCTGTTGCCTCCCCTGGCATTGGCCGGAATCTTCTGAAGCGATCACCACTCAAGGCAAGGCCTGGGGGGGACCCTGGCCTCATGCCCACTCTGGATTGTCTTTCTCCAAGTAAGAGGCTGTGCTTCCTGGGCAGGTCCTGCTCTGTGGCTGGACTCCAGGCCGGTAGTCCAATGCCCTCAGTAGGCCTCCACAGGGCCGATCCCTGGCTCTGCCCCAGGAGTGCCTCTGCCTCTAGAGAGGTCCACCCCTCAGCTAGCCGGTTGTTCTGAGCAGTATTCCTGTGGCCACATGTGTCTGCTCTCCAGGTGTCTTGTGGGCACGGTCCTGCTCTTCCAGAGACAGATTTCAGGGTTTCCCGGGAAACCCTGGCCCCTCCCAGTCACCTGCCCCCTTCCTGTAGCCATCTGAGCCCAGGGCTGTTCACAGGAGGGTCTCCTGCCTTCCCAGGGTGAAGAGGTCAGCTGTCCTCCTGCCATCTCTCCCACCCAGTCCCCAGCCCCTAAACAAGACGCTTCTTGGCCGAAGGCCCTATGGAAGGCAAAGGCTGCAGGGAAGGTGCCTCATCCACAGCTGCGTTGAGGGCGAGACCTTGCTGGCTGCAAGCTCAGGTTGCTGAGCAATGTCTGCACACCTGGCCTGGACCCCGCCCATCTCAGTCCTGATGGGGGTGTGGGGATTCTGGGGAGATCCCTGTGTGCCTACTTGCCTGTGTAGCTGAGGAGGGGAGTTGTGAGGGGCAGATGGAGGGCAAGTCTCACCGGAGTGGGGTTCCATAGGGGTAGCAGGCAGGGACCAAGAGAGGGGAGCAGCCCCTGGCTCCTGAATAAAAGCCAGTGTAAGAGTTCCCAGTCTCTGTGCTTTTGAGGGGTTGGGGGCAAAGAAGGACTGTTTGGGGGCCCCTGAAGTTCAACTTTTCCCCTTCCCGCCAGTGGCAACTGTTCCTTCTCCTTCACAGCCCCTCTGCCCCAAACACTCCATTCAGTTCTTTGGGGCACCATTCCTTTCCTCCCTATGAACTTCGCCTGACTCAAATCTCCAGATACCTGGCAGGAAGGGGGAGGGCCAGGAGGAGGTCAAGGGTGCTGGGTAGCCTCTCCCAGATCCAGGAGTCACAGGTGGAGCCTACGTTCAGGACCCAGGGGCAAGGAGTGGTGTACAACCACTGCACAGTGCTGCCCAGGCCCACCGGGATGCAAGGTCGGCCTGCAGTGTACCCCGGCATGGCAGTGTACCTCGGCACTCGGAGGAGTCCTGAGGGGCAGGAAAGCACAAGGGTGTGTGTGTAGGGCTAGCAACAGCAGGTGACTGAGGGCAGCTTGAGACCAGGCTGGGGCTGCTGGGAGGGGCAGGCAGGAGGCCAGTGTGTGAGCGGTTAAACAGGAGGCACCCAAGTAAGGCCAGGGCTCTCACCCATAATACATATAGCTTAATTAAGGTATCACTCATACATAAAATTCACCCATTTAAAGTGTATCAATGACCTTTAGTATATTACAAGGTTGTGCAACCATCATCAGTCAATTTTACATTTTCATTACCTGAAGAAACCCGTACCCATTAGCAGTCGCTCCCATTTTCCCTCCATCCCATCTCTCCAGCCCTAAGTAGGCATTTATCTGTTATTTCTATGGGTTTGTCTATTCTGACATTCCGTATTAATGGAATCATACAATATGTGGCCTTTTGGGTCTAGCTTCTTTCATGTAGCATATTTTCAATGTTTCTCCATGTTGCAGTATGGAGCAGTACTTCACCCCTTTTTATTACCGAGTAATACTTCTTTGTACAGAATACGTTTATTCATTCATCAGTTGGTGGACATTTGGGTTGTTCCCACTTTTTGACTATTATGAATACTGCTGCTATAAACATTCACGTAAAAGTTTTTGTGTGGACATAATATTTTCCTTTCTCTTGGATATAAACCTAGGAGTGGTATTATATGGTGACTGTTTCAAACTTTGGGAATTTGCCACGCTATTTTCAAAGTGACTGCACCATTATTTTCACACCAATGAACAAAGCTTCTGATTTCTCCACTTCTTGCTGACACCATCTTGTTGATTATAGCCATTTTAGTGTGAAATAGTATCTCATTGTGATTTTGACCTTCATTTCCCTGATGGCTAATTATGTTGAATGTCTCCTATGTGCTTATTGGCCATTTGGATATCTTCTTTGGACAAAGGTCTATTCAAATCTTCTGCCCATTTTTAAATTGGGGTATTTGTCTTTCTCCTATTGAATTGTAGAACTGTTTATATATTCTAGATACCAGTCCTTCATCAGATAAATGCCTTGCAAACATTTTCTCTCATTCTGTGAGTTGTCTTCAATTTTCCTTGATATCTTTTGAACATAAAAGTTTTAATTCTGATGTCCAATATATGTTTTTTGTTGCGTGTGCTTTGGGTGTTAGAAGAAACCATTGCCTAAACCAAGGTCATGAAAATTTATTCCTGTTTTCTTCTAAGGGTTTTATAGTTTTAGTTCTTACACTTAAGTCTTTGATACATTTTGTTAATTTTTGGTTGTGTGGTATGAGGTAGGAGTCCAACTTTATTCTTCTGCATGTGAATATCCAGTTGTCCCAGCACCTTTTGTTGAAGGTGATTCTTCCTCCATTTAATTGTTACCTTTATCAAAAATCAACTGACATAAATGTGAATGTTTATTTCTGGGCTTTCAATCCTGTTCCATTGATCTATGTCTATCTTTATGCCAGTAAGTACCACACCACCTTCATTACTGTAGGTTCGTAGTAAATTTTGCAATTGGGATTTGCAAGTCTTCCAACTTTTTCTTTTTCAAGACTTGTTTATTCTGGGTCCCTTGGATTCCCATCTAAATTTAAGGATCAGCCTGTCAAATTTTTGCAGTCAGCTCAGATTTTGAAAGGGATTGTATAATCCACCATTGTAACAATGTTAAATCGTCTAATCCATGAACATAGGATGTCTTTCCATTTATTTAAGTCTACCTTTTTGCAACAGTGTTTTAGTTTTCAAAGTGTAAGTTTTGCAGTTCTTTTGTTAAATTTGTCCATAAATACTTTATCATTTTTGATGCTACTATAGATGAAACTTTTATTAATTTCATTTTCATTTTGTTCACCTGTTCAAGTATACAGAAATACAATTTTTTGGTATATTGATTTTATATCCTGGATCCTTGAATTCATTTACTAGTTTTAACAGTTTTAGTAGATTTCTTGGGACTTTCTATATACAAGATGATGTAATCTACACAGATAGTTTTACTTCCTTTCTAACCCAGATAATTTAATTCATTTTCTTGCTTAATTGCCCTGGCTAGACCCTCTAGTACAATGCTGAGTAGTGGCAAGAGCAGACATCCTTGTCTTTGTTCCTGAACACAGAGGGAAAACATTAAGTGTCTCACCATTCAGGATAATGTTAACTATAGGTTTTTCATGGATACCATTTATGGAGTTGAGGAAGTTCTTCAGATTTTGAATGTTTTTTAATCATGAAACAGTGTTAAATTTTGTATTTGAGATACTTTGTATCTACTGAGATGGTCATATGATTTTTTCCTTATTCTGTGGATAGTATATCACAGTAACTGATTTTCAGATGCTAACCCATTTTGTGTTTCCGAGGAGCATCTTTCCCTTCTTGGACCTGGTTTCTCAAGCTAGTCCTGGGTCAGTCAGGTGAGAAAGACTCTGGGCAGGGCAGGGAAGAACTGTGGAGGCTAGAACCTATCTTTCCTAATTTTTGGGTGGGCTCTGCCTGCCTCCTGTAAAGCTAGAGCACCCGTGGTCAGCCCTCAGGAAATATGTCACATAAGATAACCTATCAAAGACCAGGAGCAAGGACCTCTTTGAAAGCTTATTTTTAGAGAAATAACAGAAGGCAAGACACGGTGTCCCTACTAGTCAGGCAGGACTGTGACAAAGGGCAAGGGGACGTGTCAGCACAAGTCCATGAGGACGGGAGGGCATGTTCAAACAGAAGGCAGGAGGCTGGCACTCTGAAGCCCCGAGGACCAGAGCGGGAAGGGGTCTGTTCTAGCACTATGCTGTGTGGCTCTGAGGCATCTGGGGACTGGCACAGCAACAAGGGCTATATTGGTCCCAGTACGAACTTCATCACAAGGGGCTCCAAAAGAATCGTCGGAGGACTTCTCAGCTTTGGCCATCACAACTAGGTTGTCTAGGAGGGGAGGAAGGTGACTGCTCCCCACAAAGACATTTCTACTCCCACCACCCTTCCATTTACTGATAGCTCAGTCCCCTTCTACCCCAATCCAACACAGCCTCCTTTTTCAGATAAAGACCTTGTCACTCTAGTTTCTAGAATGGACAAGGAACAGGCCAAGTGCTTGGAGAGCAGATAAAGCCTCAGCCCTCAAAGACTTAAGAGTCCAGGAAACATATAGAGCATTTAACGAACATAATACACACTGAACACCAAGCTGATACAGTTAAGGATAAAACCTGTACTTTTCTCAAATACAAATTGAAGCGTGTATCAAAGGGATTTTCTTACCCTTTCTGGGTCTCAAAGATAGCCTGGGAAATGTATTTGAGATCCTGCAATACAAAAATCCCAGGGTACAGAACTGGCTCTCTTCAAGGTGACCTACCAGGCCCACACACAGCCCACTCTATACTCCAGGTGGTCTCTCCAAATGCCTAGAAGATTGTTGTCAGAGGGAGAGGCTCTTCAGGGCAGTTCAGTTCAGGATCCTGAGATGCCAGTGCCTCTAAATCTGTGGGACCATGGGAAGAAATCAATGCAAAAACAGGGTTTGAGGGTGGAGCAACAGGAAGAAGTTACCCCAGAACAGTGGTCAGTGCTGTGGGAAACCACACTGGGCTGGAGAAAGGTAATGAGCCATAAGGCAGAGACATGCCTCTGATGGGCCTTCCTGCTCTAAAGTGGCGCCAACAAGGCCTGGCCTGCTCCCCTTATGATGTGCTCTCCTTCCCTGTCACTCCAGCCGTCTGAAGTTGAGTAAAGACCTTAGTGGCTTCAAGTGATGTATACTTACAGACCCCACCCAAGCATGCTCCTGGGTTCCTGGGGAGCAAGGATACTTGAGTCAATTGTTCCTAGGGCATTGGGGAAAACCAGCTCTGCACAAGCATCCCAGAGGCCTTCCCTGGAGGTAACTTAGCCCTGACCTGTGAGGAAGTATAACTAAAGTCACCAGACCCCAACTCTCTGAAGCCAGCTCCCCTGGAGCAGAGAAACACTTGGTGTCTCTGACACATATATCAGTATGCCCAGATGGTATTCCTCAACTGGTAGTCAAACCCCATTAGATGGAAGCCAACAGTTTCCAGGGACAAGCATGTTCCACTTCTAAGTTTTGCTTATTTACAGACCCTGAGCAGAAGCAAATGGAAGCGAGGTCTGCCTTTTCCAGAGAAGGCAGAGCTCAGTGCTTCAGCTGGGCCCATGTCTACCCCTTCTGCTACAACCACGTGACCAATACACCAAGTGACATGCGGTAAAACCTGAGAATGTCATCTGCAAATAGAGATGGCAGAGGTTTGGTGGAATGTTTGCTGAACTTGGGGGAGACTTAAGGGAAGTCTCCCTGGTAAGGCTTATGCACTAGTTGCTGCTCTGTGAACTGGCATCCTGGCCTTTGTAATTCAGAAAATCAACTAGTACCTCCTTTTGAGGATGATCTATGCCAAGCCCTGGCATGTCTCATTCCCCAGCTGGGCTGCCCAGCCCTGTCGCTTTATAGCACCTTCTCACACAAACACAAAGAACTGAGAAAGAGTCTGCAGATAGCTTTTCAGCTCATAAAAAAAGACTCCCCACCAATACTCCAAATCACCACCAATACATTTATTTGAAGAAGAAAGGGTCAAATTTTATCCAGAACTTTTCAGTTGGGTAGGATAAGACACACTGATCTGCCTACTTCTGGGTGTTCACAAATGCAAAGGTCACCAGAGCCTGCTTGTGAGGCTTCACCATTACACTGACAAGCATTTGATGAAGGAGACACAGTCTGAGCAGTCACATGATTTCCCATTAGAAGGTGCTGCCTTCATATCAGAAAACTAGTGTTGAAAAAAACCAAGGCAGAACCTGGCAATAGTTCCTAGCACAGGCCTGGACATGATGGTGGCCTTACGAAAGGGGTCACACCCTATTTACATTGCAGGAGAGTGACGCTCCCAGGCGAGCTGCAGGATGAGAGCTGGGGCTGACCTAGGCATGAGCAGGGGGTGGGATCTGACCCCACGAGCCTTTTCCCATCCAACTGGGCCTCCGCAGCCATTCTCTGGCCCCCTAGACAAGGCAGACTCGGTAAATCTGCACAGGAAGAGCATTCTGCCCCAATCTCACAGCCCCACCCCACCTTCCCTGCATCCTAACAGGTGACCAATCCATCGGGCCGCCTCACCCCCACTCAACCCCTGTTGCTGGACAGACACATGGCAAATATGGAAACCGAAGCCCAGCTGGCTGGAGCACATCTAGGTTTTGCTGGGTTGAAGTCATCTTATAGGTGCCTGAGATGATCAGGGCTCACTCACGGTGGCCAGGCTGAGACAGCATGTGGTTTTCAGGTGATTCAGGTTACTCCAGGGCAAAGCACGATCCTGATGACACTCGGCGGAAAAGCAAGCTGGAGCCGCGGAAGAGCTGGCCCTGCAGTGGAACGGTCAGGTCAGTGAAAGGGGAGGCCATGCTTCTCGTCCCACCCCAGGGCAAGGCCAGTGTAAACCAAAGAAGGGTCCGCAGCTCAGAAACCCCAGGGTCAGGGGTGGGATGCCTAGGCTCGCATTTCTGCAGGGCAAGGCCTGTCCGGGGCTGACGCACAAGGGAGAGGTTCTCTTCATGCCACAGGGCGTCCCAATGTCCATGGGGATCCTCAGCAGGAAACCCTGGAGAGTAGACTCCCTACCCTTCTGGCTTCTGACTCCTCCAACACCCATGGGACATGATGCATGTTGACTTGACAGACCTCACTTCCCTCCCATGTGTCATCGTCTCAACTTTGTGGCCATTAAGTACGCTGGATCCTCCCCAGGCCACTGCCTCACTTTACTTACAGGCAAACCAAGGCCAGGAAGAGGCAAGGACGTGCCCTGGGCCAGTTTCCTGGATCCTTGACTCCTGGGCCCAAGAGTCAGCAGGAGGGTGCTCAGAGCACAGAACACAAAAACCCCAAGACCAGCACCCTTGCCAGGCCCACCACCTGGCCCAGGTCAACCTCAGGCTCTCCTGGGCACCAGGGACATCCTGCAGGAGTGGTGGTCAGCCTCCAACATGGCAGCTCCTGTCAGGAACTGTTCGTAGCTCTTGTATTTTCAGCTTGTGTTACCCGAGGTATAAGAAGTCCCTGGGCTTCCCCGCTACCCCATTGCCACCCTCATACTTGCTCTAAGAGTTTGAGTAGAAAAGGAGACCTGGTCTACTGTATAATTTAAGTAAATTCCTATCTAACTACCTCAAATCTTTTCCAAAATAAAGTGAAAATTTAATTTACATGCCTTAAATTGAGAGTCTATATTCTCTTTATGCTCCCTGCTCACAACACTGGATTCCACGACAACCCTTATTTTTCATTGCAATGAAGAAATCTACAAAATCATTTTATCTGGTTGACGTGCAGGAACGGGAAAAGGGGCTCCTTGTTTACCTGCACACTAAGGTACTTCCAGCAGTGGATCCAGGATTTGAACACTGGGGAGTAAGGGGGGAGCCCAGCCTGTAGCCTGCCAGGAAAGAGAACATGTCAGACCCAAACAACAGTGGATGGATCAGCCAGGGAAAAGGAGAACTCAAGAGGGAATGGCTTGGAGCTGCCACCACACACATCCTGAAGCAGAGATTCATGCCAAAGGGGTATGGTGAATCCCAGAGGAAGCCAGCGTGCCTCGTGGGCTGAGCTAACACACAGACCAGGCAGGAGGGCGCACAGGGCTGGCCAGCCTCAGCTGGGTCCCCCCAGCAGCCTTGGCAAGGAGCCTGTGGAGGGTGAACACCTACCCACAGTTGTTCACGGCCATGAGATCACCGACCAGCAGGAAGGGGTAGGTCAGCATGCTCACTGCAATCTGAAATCCAGTGAGATTCATGTCGGTGACCCACCCACTGACAGCTGCCACCCGGCTCAGAAACAGGTACACGCTGTGCCAAGAC